TTTGTTCCTCACTTTCTGTATTACTGTTTCTTTTGTGTTTAGTTGATTCTTTGTTGTGAAAATTTTAAATCCCTTTGTCATTTCCTTTTGTGTATATTCTATAGCTATTTTTTTGCGTGTGTTATCTTGGGGATTTCATTTAACCTGCTAAATCTGTGTCATTCATTATAATTTATAGAAGTTCAAGTTTAATAACATTCAAAAATTCTGCTCCTGCAATGTGTTATTCATGGTCACCCTCTTGGGTTGTTGACATCACAAAAATATCTTTTTGTACATCGTGTGCCCCCAGACATAAACTTTCATTAATTTAAATGAATTAGTACATTAAATTATATAGAAAACTTGATTGGCATTACAAAGTTTAAGTAATACTTGTTTTTAAATCAATGATTTGTTTTAAAAAACGGACTAGTTTCTTTAATCATGTGGAAACCAAAAGTAGTTAGAAACTGTTGCTATAATACTAAGTTTATATTTTTCTATGCAGTTACCTTTATTAAAATATTTATTTTTCATTCACCTTTGAGTTAGTATCTGGTGTCCTTTTGTTTTTTCCCTGGAGGACTCCCTTGAGCATTTCTCTCAGTGTGGGCCTAGTAGTAGCAAGTTTCCTTAGGTTTTGTTTATTTGGGAATGTTTTGATTTTCCCCTCACTTTTGAGGGACAGTGTTGCCAGATATAGAATTTTTTGGGGGGCCATTCTTTTATTTTACCACTTTGAATGTATTGGCCTGCTGACTTCTGGTCTCTAAAGTTTCTGATTAGAAATCTATTGATAATCTCATTGACAATCACTTGTATGTGATGAGTCACTTTTCTCTTGCTGCTTTTAATATTCTCTTTTTATCTTTCCAAATTTGATTATAATGTGTCTCGACTATGTGTCTGAGCTCATTTTTCTTGGAGTTGATGAGCTTGGATGTTTATATTCACATCTTTCATCCAATTTGGGAGATTTGGGAGATCATAGCTGAAATATTCTCTCTATCCCTTTCTTTCTTTCTTCTCCTTCTGAGCATCCACAGTGCATATGTTGGATCCTTAGGCTATGTTGTCTTGTTTTCAGTCTTAACTTTACTGCTCTCCAGCCTCTATCATTTCCATTATCTTCTCTTTAGGTTCACTGTTAATTTCTTTTGCCTCAAATCTGCCTTTGAATGCCTCTAGTGAAATTTTCATCACATTAGTTGTATTTTTCACTTCTAGAATTCATTTTTAGCTTCTTTTTTGATTTTCTATCCCTTTATTGACATTTTTATTTTGCACATTTTTTTTTCCTCTACCTCCCCCACATCTTGCTTTAGTTCTCTGAGAATCTTTAAGGCAGTGATTTTAAAGTCATTGTCTGGTATATCTACCATCAGGTTTTTCTCAAGAACAGTTTCTGTTGATTTATTATTTTCCTCTGAATAGGCTTTCGTTTTCAGCTTCTTGGTGTGTCTTGTGATTTTTGTAGAAGACTGAATATTTGAATCTAACCATGTGTTGAATCTGGAGATGAGACTTTCCTCCTTTCCCCAGGGTCTGCAGATTTTTGGTATTCGTTTTGTTTATTAATTTTTTTGATTGTTTTATCCTGCTGTTGTGGAAAAGATCAATATAAGATGTAGATTTCAATGTCCTCAGGTATTTTCTGGACCTTTTCCTGGTCATAAGTGGACACTTTCTTCTAATGTTCCTGGTTTATGTCGTTGTTTTCCAATGTTCTAGCCTTTAATATCTGTCTCGCATAAGGGAAAAACAGAAAAATGAGGGAGAAAAAGAGATCATCAGCCTTTTAAGATCCCTTGAAGTCCATTCAGCCAGAAGGGGGAGATGGTTGCAACAATAGGTGTAGGGATAGCAAAGACTTTGCTGCCTACTTCTTTGTCTGCACTTCTGTGATTAGAGCAGCAAGCAGCAATCAGAACCCAGATATGTGATATTTGGATTTTGTTTGTTTGTTTGTTTGTTTGTTTGTTTTGGTCCACTCTGGTTCTTGAAACCTCTGTGCATGCTGCTTTGTGAACACATGTATAGGTGCTTGCCATGTGATGGGGGCAGGGGATGGATAGTTGCTACTGTGATAAAAGCTGAAATAACTGAAATTGAGTAAAATTATCTGCAATTTACATTGAAAACCTGCCCTAGAAGTTACTGCAACTCTTCAAAATAGATACTCTAGACCGAGTCTTCTAGTTCAATTTTCATTTAATTAGGGGAGGCAGATTCCTGTTGCTCTACCATCTTCCCAGAAATTTTCCTACTATCTTTTGACCTTTTTTTTTTTTTTTTACAAAATTATATATATACATATGATGTTGAATATGTGTGTGTGTGTGTATATAAAAGAGAATTTTCACCAGTTTCTGTTTGAATGTGTGTCCAGGAAAGCTTTTTATACATATGTGCTCAAAGTGGACCACAGGAGTACTTTCTTGACAGTGTCAGGGATGGAAAGTCCTCCACTGAACAAATAATTCTTCTTAGGAATCACCTGCGGTGCTGTAGCTTCTGCTTTGTGTAAGGCAGCAGCACATCCCTCTTTGTGAGCCTCTATGTGAATTTTTGTGTCTTGAATGAGTGTGTTCAATGAATCTCTACAAAAGTTGTCCACAATATAGTGTCATACACGTGCTCCTGGAGAAAGGTGAATGTGGTTAAGATCTTGCCAGCAAAGCTTATGAGCAAGGCTGTTGAGGTAGTCCATGAGAAGTCAGTACAAGTGATTTGTATCCTTCAAAGATGAAGGAGAAGAGAAACTGCAGCTGAGATCTTGTTGAAATAGGATCAGAACATATTAACAAATCTATGCTTGCAAAGTATCTATTACTACTTAGAGTCAGCAATTTCAATAATATTGGAGATGGGGAGCAGGCTTAATATGATGCATCATTGCAATAATGTTATAGTAATGTTCTGCAAGGTATCATAAATTCTTTTCAGGTTTATGAATTAATCTAAATTAAGCTATTAAATGGAAAAGCAGTGTAGATAATCACTCCTTTGCTTAATAGATCTTTTATAATGGGATTTCATCCTTAAAGCCACTGTTTCAATATGTATTGGGTTGTATTTAAAGGTTAATATGTTGGACAGATCCAAACACGTCCTTTTTTGTCAAGCTCACTATAAGTGCCAGAACTCTAATATTATTTTAATTTATGACATGTTACATAAGACAACAATAACTATTAGTAGATGATGTAAAAGGTGGTTGCTATAACTATGGGATATTTTATCCCAGTAGGTAAGACAGGGCATGGAAATTTGTCCTGTATCTAATACTTTTGGCTCCTAGTAATACAGGAATATCTACATAAATATAGAAAATATAATCATTATATCTGTTATTTTTGCCCCAGTATTGATTAAGAACACTAATCTCACTAATCTTTGTCATTGTTTCATCTCATCCAATGTTAAAATTCATTTGGAAGTTCTGACAGAGAGGAACAAAAGCAACTTGTGCCCTTTATCAGTTGTAAATTTTTAAAAGTAATGTTAGATTCCCACAGGTATCAAAACAGAACTCTTTTCTTTCCTGACTCTCCCACCCTGCCCATCTCCTCTCTTTCCTCTTTCTTTTGGTTGTCATTAGATGTATTTTGGGGAAGTATCTGTTATAACCTGCCTATATATACATATATATATATATATATATATATATATATATATATATATATATAAGCTTCTTCTTCAGAATATCCCCATTAGTATCATCAAAGTTAGGGGTCTCCCCATGGATAATTTTGAGACATGTGAAATTAATTCGAACTAACTCCTTGAAATAACTCCATGGGCCTGTCATCAGTCTTTTTCTCTATTACTGTGTTAATCGAGATTTTCCTCTAGCTACAAGATAATCATCAGCAACAGAAAAGTCATTTTCTAAGGTTCTAGTGCACCATCTACTTTTGCAGGTATCGATCTCATCATACCAGTTGGTAACTACCCTTCTTTACATTATTCAGTGCACTTGTAAATTGCTATCAGTTCTACTCTGGAGGACCATTCTTAAGGGGGCAATACCTGACTGCGACACACAGTCACAGAATTCTACCTAGCCTAGTGTCAATCACAGCTCATGCTGGAATCCAGAAACACAATCCAATCTGATACAGAAAATAGGTTTGTGTGAGACACATAATCAAGACCATGTAAAGAATAAACCCATACTTTTGTCTCTAAATGCCAATTGTGGAAGCTTCTGAGTGGGATGGAGGTGAGGATCCCCCTAACGTGGGTCTGGCTTGCTTGGCTTGAAAATCTTGGTCACACAAGGGAGGGCATGTTGAGTCTTTCCTCTAAGTTTTTCAGGATATGTCACGGAAGGTTAAGGGAGAGATGAAGCTTGAAAGCTGTCAGCAGTCTAACTTCAAAAATGGTGTTAGACTTTTTATTACACAGGAGTTATGGGGAAAATGCCAGGATGGTAAGTAGGGCTGCAGAAGACTGCAATTTTTAACTGCAATTTTTAATTTAGAAGACTAAATTTTTAATTTAGGCATTGGTATTTTTTGGTAGAATGAAAAACCTCTGCATGTTTCACTTCTAATTTTAATGAAAATGATTTCTTTTTCTAAGTGATAAATGACAGGGGAACGGGTATAAAATAAGGTCTGTATTTAAATATAAGGTATGCCATTCACTCTACGTGCAATCCTGACAAATTATCTGGCACTCCTTTCATCTCTGTTTTCTCACCTATAAAATGATGAATAGTTACACCTTTATGTGAAAACTTTAAATAGAATCTTGAAGTACTTTAAAATGAATAAAAGTATCTAAACCTATTAACAGGTTATCAATAAATATTGGCAGGTTGTGTGATTGAAGAAATGAGAAAGCAGAAAAAAACCATACAAAATAGAAGTTCAGTAAGGGAACATTTGAAAATATTTACAATAATTGGAATAAATAAACCATGATATCCTCATGTGAATGTTAATTTGGGTTGTATGGCATAATTAAAAATTTTCCTATTGGTGTTTTATTTTTTATCCTCTTTTTTAAAGAAAAGGGTGAAACATCATATGAAGTTATCAGTTGGCTTCCACCTGAAGATCATAAAAAAGAATTCAAGAAATGTTTTGATTTCCTTGTGACAGAAGCTTTGCATGGCAGGTAATTTCTTTTATTCTCTGCTTGAAAGACTTACCATTTTAGTGATTTAAATGAATGGTTGGATACATAGATACTTGGAGTGAGTTTAAGAGCAATGGATAGATGAATGGATAAATGGATAGATGGGGAGATCAATGACAGGGGGCAGAGGATAAATGGAGTAGATGAATTTTTACTCACAATTATTCAGTCTGTGTAGTGTGCCTCTTCCACTGAAAGTAGGAATGCATTTCTGTGTATGAGGGGGATTGTTCCTTTTGGATCTTCCTGGCAACACTTCACCTACAGTGTTTGCATATTCTCCACCACACAGATGGTGGATAGACAATTTAATTTCTCATTGTTGGTATGCAAATGGGAGTCGCCATATTATACTTATTTTTCCTCCCACTTCCTCACATAAATTCAAGAATAGAAAAATGCTTATGAATATTGATTTCTTATACCTCAAACCAGTGTCTTTTAAACCCGTTTAAGAAACCAAATATCTTGGCGATACACAATGAGTAAGTAACCTGAGAGCTTTGCCATTACCTAGAATGTATAGAAAGTTCTTCATGTTTGACATCAGAGGGGAAGACACAAATTCATTCCTTACTTGCTTAATACAGTGGCTTAATGTCCATCCCCCTTCTTCCTTAGAAATTCTGTTTGCTAGTAGGTGGTCATAAAATATGGCTTTTTTATAAAGTCATTTTCCTTAGTCAAACTAGACTCCAAATTTTCTCATATAAAAGAGATCTGATCTAAAGTACTGATTTGAAATTTTGTCTATATCATCTAATGTTGTTATTGATACATTTTTAAATTCTATATCTCATCTCTTCTTCCTTAAACTGATTACCTTGAAGGCCGTTTTTTTTTTAATGTTTATTTTATTTTTGAGAAAGAGAGAGACAGTGAGAGCAGGGGAGGAGCAGAGAGAGAGGGAGACACAGAATCTGAAGCAGGTTCCAGGCTCTGAGCTGTCAGCACAGAGCCTGACGCGGGGCTGGAACTCACAGAACGTGAGATCATGACCTGTGCTGAAGTCGGACACTTAACCGACTGAGCCACCCTGCCGCCCTGAAGGCTGGTTTTATATACATGTCACATATGGTATAATATACCAAGCACAGTGCTTTCCTTATTTTTTCAATTAACTTAATTTCTGATATGATTAATGTTCTACTTTTGAGGAATTTGTACTTCATATTTTAAATTTATCACCAATATTTAGCAGCACTGTTCAGGTGAAATCACTTAAAATATAATAGAGAATAATTTCAGCTAATCACCTGTTATCACATGAAGTTGATTTTAACCCCCAGGTGTAGATCTGCATATTGCCAATGAGTTCTCACCTGTGGGCTTTCTTTCAGTGGGCTGACATAGTGTAGAGTTGTACAGGTTACAGGTTGGCCAGGCCATTGATTCTCTTAGTTCTTCATTCAAATGGTAGGCCCATGGGTCACCAAAGTACTTGTACCTGTAACCTCTGGTCAGGAACATTCTCATCTATTTGTCCCTATGCTGCATAAAAAGGATCATTTTCCTTGCAGGCACTGATGTAAAAACATTGAAGCAGAATGGTTCCTGGAACAGTGCCATAGACCAGAGTCTTAATAGATATTGGTAAAATTTTAGCATGAACTTTTGTGAATACTCCAGCTGGGTATGAAGTGGAAAGGATAGTAGTTAGCTTCATAAAGGCTTTTATTTTTGTTTGTTTTAAATGTTAATCTTTTCTGGTAGGAAGACGTAAATCTCACGTTCAGCTTAAAATTAGAATTCAAATATTGCCATCAGAAATTTCCTTGTGTGAGGCAATCTATCAAATTCAGGCTATTCTCAATTTCAACTAAAAGGGCTATATCATGAATATTGATGTCATGAAGTTATTTCCACAGTTCACTTAGGAAACAGGACAGTCACTGATAAAAAGTCAGTATACAAATGAAAGTTAAAGAGAGCATCACACCTAAAGGAAATAGAAGCAGAACAGCAAAGACACCCCAAACCCAGCAGAAGAAGAGAAATAATAAAGATCAGAGCAGAAATAAACAATATAGAATCTAAAAAAACAGTAGAGCAGATCAGTGAAACCAAGAGTTGGTTGTTTGAAAAAATAAACAAAATTGATAAATCTTTTGCCAGGCTTCTCAAAAAGAAAAGGGAGAGGACCCAAATAGATAAAATCATGAATGAAAATGGAATTATTACAACCAATCCCTCAGATATACAAGAAATTATCAGGGAATACTATGAAAAACTATATGCCAACAAACTGGACAACCTGGAAGAAATGGACAAATTGCTAAACACCCACACACTTCCAAAACTCAAACAGGAAGAACTAGAAAATTTGAACAGACCCATAACCAGCGAATAAATTGAATTGGTTATCAAAAATCTCCCAACAAATAAAGAGTCCAGGACCAGATGGCTTCCCTGGGGAATTCTACCAGACATTTAAAGCAGAGATAATACCTATTCTTCTCAAGCTGTTCCAAAAAATAGAAAGGGAAGGAAAGCTTCCAGACTCATTCTTTGATGCCAGCATTACTTTGATTCCTAAATCAGACAGAGACCCAGCAAAAAAAGAGAACTACAGGCCAATATCCCTGATGAATATGGATGCAAAAATTCTCAATAAGATACTAGCAAATCGAATCCAACAGCATATAAAAAGAATTATTCACCATGATCAAGTGGGATTCATTCCTGGGCTGCAGGGGGGGGGTTCAACATTCACAAATAAATCAGTGTGATACATCACATTAATAAAAGAAAAGAAAAGAACCATATGATCCTGTCAATCAGTGCAGAAGAAGCATTTGACAACATTTAGCATCCTTTCTTAATAAAAACCCTTGAGAAAGTGGGGATAGAAGGAACATACTTAAGCATCATAAAAGCCATTTATGAAAAGCCCATAGCCAATATCATCCTCAATGGGGAAAAAATGAGAACTTTCCTCAGGAACATGACAGAGATGTCTACTTTCACCACTGTTGTTTAACATAGTGTTGGAAGTGCTGGCATCAGCAATCAGACAAAAAAACGAAATAAATAAGTATCCAAATCGGTAAAGAAGTCAAACTTTCATTTTTCACAGATGACATGCTACTCTACATGGAAAACCCGAAAGATTCCACCAAAAAGCTGCTAGAACTGATACATGAATTCAGAAAAGTCGCAGGATACAAAATTAATGTACAGAAATCAGTTGCATTCTTATACACTAACAATGAAGCAACAGAAAGACAAATAAAGAAACTGATCCCATTCACAATTGCATCAAGAAGTATAAAATACCTAGGGATAAATCTAACCAAAGATGTAAAAGATCTGTATGCTGAAAACTATAGAAAGCTTATGAAGGAAATTGAAGAAGATATAAAGAAATGGGAAAACATTCCTTTTTCATGGATTGGAGAGTAAATATTGTTAAAATGTCAACACTACCCAAAGCAATCTACACATCTAATGCAATCCGAAACAAAATTGCACCAGCGTTCTTCTCGAAGCTAGAACAAGCAATCGTAAAGTTTGTATGGAACCACAAAAGACCCCAAATAGCCAAAATAATATTGAAAAAGAAAACCAAAGCAGGAGGCATCACAATCCCAGACTTTAGTCTCTACTACAAAGCTGTCATCATTAAGACAGCATGGTATTGGCACAAAAACAAACACATAGACCAATGGAATAGAATAGAGACTCCAGAATTGGACCCACAAATGTATGGCCAACTAATCTTTGACAAAACAGGAAAAAATATCCAATGGATAAAAGACAGTCTCTTTAACAAATGGTGCTGGGAGATCTGGACAGCAACATGCAGAAGAATGAAACTAGACCACTTTCTTACATCACTCAGAAAAATAAACTCAAAATGGATGAAGGACCTGAATGTGAGACAGGAAACCATCAAAACCCTAGAGATGAAAGCGAGAAAAAGCTCTCTGACCTCAGCCGCAGCAATTTCTTACTTGACACATCTCCAAAGGCAAGGGAATTAAAAGAAAAAATGAACTATTGGGACCTCATTCAAGATAAAAACTTCTGCACTGCAAAGGAAACAGTCAACAAAACTAAAAGGCAACCGATGGAATGGTAAAAGATATTTGCAAATGACATATTGGATAAAGGGCTAGTATCCAAACAGAAGAGACTCATAAATATGGAGAACAAACTGAGGGTTGCTGGAGGGGTTGAGGGAGGGGGGGATGGGCTAAATGGGTAAGGGGCACTAAGGAATCTCTTCCTGAAATCATTGTTTCACTATATGCTAACTAATTTGGATGTAAACTTTAAAAAATAAAGAAGAAAATTAAAACAATTATAGAAAATGTTTAATATGTAATATTAAATGAAAGAAATGATATGTAAAAAAATAAAATAAATAAATAAAAATAAAAAATAAAATCAGAAATAAAAGACATCCAGATGGGCAACAGGCACATGAAAAGATGCTCAATGTCACTCTTCATCAGGGAAATACAAATCAAAACCACATTGAGATATCACCTCACTCCAGTCAGAGTGGCTAAAATGAACAAATCAGGAGACTATAGATGATGGAGAGGATGTGGAGCAATGGGAACCCTCTTGTACTGTTGGTGGGAATGCAAACTGGTGCAGCTGATCTGGAAAACAGTGTGGAGGTTCCTCAAAAAATTAAAAATAGATCTACCCTATGACCCAGCGATAGCACTGCTGGGAATTTACCCAAGGGATACAGGACTGCTGATGCATAGGGGTACTTGTACCCCATTGTTTATAGCAGCACTTTCAACAATAGCCAGATTATGGAAAGAGCCTAAATGTCCATCAACTGACGAATGGATAGAGAAGATGTGGTTTATGTATACAATGGAATATGAATTGGCAATGAGAAAGAATGAAATCTGGTCATTTGTAGCAACGTGGATGGAATTGGAGAGTGTTATGCTAAGTGAAATAAGTCAGGCAGAGAAAGACAGATACCATATGTTTTCACTCATATGTGGATCCTGAGAAACTCAACAGAAGACCAGGAGGGAGGAGAAGGGGGAAAAAAAGAGTTACAGAGACGGAAGGAGGAAAACCATAAAAGACTCTTAAATATTGAGAATAAACTGAGGATTGATGGGGGATGGAGGGGAGGGGAAAGTGGGTGATGGGCATTGAGGAGGGCACCTGTTGGGATGAGCACTGGGTGTTGTATGGAAACCAATTTGACAGTAAATTTCATAGTAAAAAAAAAGAATGTATCAACTAGAAATGAAACTCTAAAATCTGCTAGTGTAGGGAATGCTTTCAAAGCAGAAGGATCTTGAATTAGCTCTGATAGTGGGTGCATATGGATTGGCCAGAGAAAGGGGAGGGGAGGAGGTGAGAACATTTCAGGAGACAGAAACATCTGGAGCAGAGTGATCAGAGCAGAGTATTCATTGGACACTGGTAAAATGGGTGGGTGGTAAAATATTGTGAAATTAACACCTCCAATGAATATTTGTCTTTAGTTTTTTTGTTTGTTTGTTTGTTTGTTTGTTTTTGTTTTTACAGGGAAGCATTTGACAACTTTGTATCATTAATGAAACAACTGGGAATTCGATGCAGTGATTTGCTAAGGAGAGGTGATATCATGGATTTCTTAAAAAATGAGAACTTTGACTTGGTATTTGTTGAAGCACTTGACTTCTGTTCTTTCCTCATTGCTGAGAAGCTTGGGAAGCCATTTGTGTCAATTCTTCCTACCCAATTTGGAAGTGTGGACCATGGGCTACCAAGTCCTGTGTCTTATGTTCCATTATTCCGTTCCTTGCTCACCGACCACATGGACTTCTGGGGCAGAGTGAGGAATTTTCTGATGTTCTTTGATTTCTCCATAAAGCAAAGGCAAATCCATTCTACCATTGAGAACACCATCAAGGAACATTTCCCGGAAGGCTCCAGGCCAGTTTTGTCTCATCTTTTAAAGAAAGCAGAGCTGTGGTTTGTTAACTCTGACTTTGCCCTTGAGTTTGCTAGGCCCCTGCTTCCCAACACTGTGTATGTTGGAGGCTTAATGGCCAGACCTGTTAAACCAGTACCACAAGTAAGTAAAACCTTAGTGCTCAATAGGGACTTCATGCAGAGCTCTTCAGTGCAGAGTTGGTGGCTTCCCTGCCAGTGGGAACTGGGAGTGAAGTAGGATGAGACAAACAAAACACCTAAATGTAAATTTTTATTTTTTTAATTTTTTAATTTTTATTTTTCTATTCTATTTATTCTATTCTATTTTAAATTTTATATTATTTTGGTAAAAACACTTAATATGAGATCTAGCCCCTTATCAAAATTTTAACCATACAATACATGATTATTTACTGTAGGTACCATATTGGATCTCAGATCTCTAGACCTTATTTATCTCACTTATCTGTAATTCTTTCTTCATTGAATAATAGCTACCCTTTTCTCTTAAACCCTAAACCTTGGAAAGCAGCTGCCACTTTTCATTTTATGAATTTGAATATTTTAAATGCTTCAGATAAGTTAACTCATGCAGTATTTGCTTATCTGGCTTATGTCACTTATCATAATATTTTTAAGTTTCACCCATGTTTTCCCATATTGCAAAATTTTCTTCTTTTTTAAAGAATACATAATATTCTTTTTAAAAGAACATATAGTATTCTTTTTTAAAGAATGTAAGTATTGTTTTTTAAAGAATATAGAGAACTTTTAAAAATATGTAGTATTTTTAAAATAATATATATATTATATATATAATGGAATATATATATATATAATGGAATATATATATCTATATCTATATCTATATATATATATATCTATATATCACAATTTCTTCAACCATTCATCTTTGATGGATATTTTGTTTGTTTCCATATCTTGCTTATTGTGAATAGTGCTTCAGTGAATATGGGAATACAGACATCTCTTTGAGATCTTGATTTCCATTTTCTGTTTTTAATTTGTGGGGAAATTTCCATACTATTGTCCTTAGTGCCTTTGACATTTTTCATTCCCAACCACAGTATGTAAGGGTTGTTATTTCTCCATATCTTTAACACTAGTTGTCTTCTGATTTTTAAAAAAAACTACCAATATTTGTGAATTAATAGCTCATTGTGGTTTTGATGTGTATTTCCCTGATGGCTAGTGTTGTTGAGCACTTTTTTCATATATCTGTTTGCCATTTGGCATGTTTTCTTTGGATAAATGTCTATTCAAGTCCTCCATCTATTTTTAATAGAGTTATAAGACTTTTTTCTTCTCCATTGAATTGTAAGCCTTTCTTATACATTTTGGAGATTAATCTCTTAGGATTATGGTTTATAAATGTTTCCTATTCTGTAGGTCTTCTGTTACTCTGTTGATTGTTTCTTTGCTGTGTAGAAGCTTTGTAGTTTAATGTAGTCTCACTTGTTTTGTTGTTTGTTTTGGTGTTTGTTTCTTTTGATTTTGATATTTCATTTTCTAGTTTATTGTGCTATATTTTTGAAATCAATAGCAAGACCAATACCATGAAGTTTCACCCTCTGTTTTTTTTCTAAGAGCTTTGTTGTTTCCGTTTTAGGATTAAGTCTTTAATCAAATTTGAGTTGAATTTTTTGTATGGAGTAAGGTGAGGGTCCAGTCAACCTCTGGTGAGAGGTTGTTTTCATAACTATCTGCCAACTTTGGTGAGACTGGTTACACAATTGCCTGGGGTACAGTTAGTTTTTAGTTATTTTTATTTTTATCTTTTAAGTACTTCAAATAAAATATTTTTAAAATATTTCTGTACAGAATGAGAGCATGGAACTTCCTATTCTAATGTCATGTTGTGCTCTTTTCAGTTTTAAATAATAGATTTACATTAATCTTATAATTATCAAAAGATAGTAAAGGTGATTTTAAGTGGTCCCCCAGAATGGGAGTTCTAACAGTGTAGTGCTGGATGGAGTCAATTACAGCCCAATGGAACAATGGGGTATAGGTTGGGAATTGGGAACAACCAAACCATGAAGAGGATGGAGAAACTGTTATAAAGAATTGACAAAACTGTATTAATGCTCATTTTTAGGGGATTAAATCAGAAACTTCCTAGGGGGCCTGCTGGCTCATTTGGTTAAGCATGTGACTGTGGCTCAGGTCATGATCTTACCATTCGTGAGTTGGAGCCCCACATTGGGCCCTGTGCTGACAGCTCAGAGCCTGGGGCCTGCTTCAGGTTCTGTGTCTCTCTGTTTCTGCCCCTCTTATGCTCGCACTCTGTCTCTGTCTCTCTGTTTCAAAAATAAATAAATGTAAAAAAATTTAAAAAAATTTCCTAAGAATAATCTAGGAATTATTATATGCTATATATTATATAGCATAATATATGCTAATTAATATCACACAAAATAGACTTCAGTCAAAAAGTTCACAGGAGGTAAAAATATTTTATAAATGGTTTAATATAACAAATCAATCAATGTATTAGAGTGGAAGGAATAAACACATCATGTCAATATATGCAGAAAAGATATTTGACTAAATGAATACCTTTTCATGATAAAAACAAAACTAAGGGTAAAAAAGGTACTTCTTCACATGACAAAGAGTATTTACTGGAACACTCACAGCTAACATCATATTCTTTATGATAGACAGAAATTGTGCTGCCTCAGGTCAGTAGTCTAAGATGCCCACTGCTACTTAAATATGCCATAGACAGAGCAAGTAGGCAAGAAAAAGAAATTCCAAATTGGAACGGACAATGTCAAAATAGCTTACATTTTTTTATATGACATAATTCTCTCTATAGAACATCCCAAAGACTTCACACACCAAAAAGAAACTACTAGATGTTAAACAAATCTAGCAATGTTGCAGGGAAAATATCAACATGGAAATAGGACTTGTGTTTCCATACACTGGCTAGGAACAACCTGAAAATGAAACCAAGTAAATTATTCTGCTTACAACAGCATCCAATTAAACTGAGGAGGTGAAAGACATGTACGTTCACTGGACACTACAAATTTCCTGAGAGAAATTAAGAATGACCTAAATAAATAAAAATATATCTCTAGATCATGGGTTATGATACTTAATATTGTTAAAAGAGCAATACTACTGAAAATTATCTACAGATTTGATCTAATCCTTATCAATAGTTTAATGGCCTTTTTTATAGATGAAAAAGGCAGTTTTCAAATGCATATGGAAATGAAGAGACCCTGAATAACCAAAGACCCTGAATAACCAAATGAAGAGACCCTGAATAACCAAAGACCCTGAATAAAAAGAAGAATGACTCATACATCTGTGACTAATTCATTTTTACAAGGATGCCAAAAACAACCAATGCAGTCTCTTCAGATTCTCTTCAGAAAATGGTGCTGAGACCATTGGATATTTGCTCACATTGAAGGGAATGTATTTTGAGCCTTCCTCACACCACATGCCAATATGAACTCAAAATGGATCAATGGCCTAAATAAAGAGCTAAAAGCCATAAAATTCTTAGAAGACAAGAAAGGGATAAATGTACACAGACTTGGATTTGGCAATGAATTTGTAGATGTGACACCAAAGCATGAGTAACAAAGGAAAAAAATACATAAATTGGACTTCATCAGGATAAAAAAACTTCTCTGTATCAAGGTAGAATGCAAGTTTGTCTTCTCACTGCTACATTTTAGCCTCATACTGGAGGTCCTAAGTAAAGCAATAAGACAAAAAAGGAGATAAAAGGCATATAGATTAGACAGGAGGAAATAATGTGGTTTTGTTCACAGATGGCATGATGGTCCATTTAGAAAATCTGAAAAGTCATAAAAAAATCCTAGAATTAGTAAGCAATTGGAGCAATGCCACAGGACACTAGTTTAATGTACAAAATCATCCTTTTCTTATATATCAGCAATGAATGGAGGAATATGAAATTAAAAACAATATACTATTTACATTAGCACTACCAAAAATGAGATCTTAGGAATAAATAAAAAATATGTATATATACAAGATTAAATGAGGAAAACCACAAAACTCTAAAGAAAGAAAGAAATTAAAGAACTAAATAAATGGAGAGTAAGTCCATGTTCATGGGTAAGAAGACTCAATATTTCCAAGACATTAATTAGTTCTTTGAAAATTGATCTATACATTCAATGCAATCCCAATCAAAACCTCTGCAACTATTTTGTGGATATTAATTAAAAAATTTTAAAATTTGCATGGAGAGGCAAAAACCCTAAAAAGCCAACACAATATTGAAGATGAAGAACAAAGTTTGAGGAGTGATATTGTCAACTTCATGACTTACTATAAAGCTACAATAATCAAAATGGTATGTATGATATTGGCAAAAGATTAGAAGTCAATGTAACAGAATAGAGAAGCCAAAATAGACCCACATAAATTTAGTGGGCTGATGTGTCATAAAGGAGTAAAGACAATAGTATAGAGAAAGCAGACTTTCAAAAACCAACAGTGCTGGAAAAATGATCTGACTACATAGAAAATTAATTAGCCTCAGATCCTACACATTCAAGAAAATTAACTCAAAACAGACCGTAAACCTTAATATAAAAAGCAAGTGCAAAGTATGAAACTTTTAGAATATGATATCAGAAAAGAATCTAGAGGACCTAGGGTTTGGTGAAAAATTTTTAAATGAAAACCTAAGTCATGATCTATGAAAGAAAGAGTTGATAAGTGTGCTAAGTTGAAATTAAAATTTCTCTTCTGGGCAGGAATTATCAAGAGAATGAAAGGAGGAGGAACAGAACACAACCAAATGTTTGGAACAGATCTGTTAAAAACTATTATTCAAAATATTCAAATAAACACAGACACAAATATACACAATATACAAAGAACTATTAAAATTTAACAATTAAAACCAGTATTTTAAAAATGGACCGAACACCTTACCAGAACTGTCAACAAAGAAAACACAGATGGCTCATAAGCATATGAAGGAGACACATGACAGATATTTTCCCAGCATTACCTCAGTTTCCAGAAGGCCTACTGCCCCCTACTGGTCTAGGACATCAAGTGGCACTCTCCCAGGCACTAGCACCCTGGTCTGACATTGGAACACTCCTAAGTGACCACATATCCCCAGAACTAGGATGAGGGATGAGGATCACCCTTATTCTGGGGCCATGTTGTTAATGAAGAAAGAAGTTTGCACACCTGTACTTTCCTCTTCTTAAAACATTGTTAAATCGACATTCTGAATCTAGGTGTTGGTGCTACAGTATGTGTTAAGTGCCTTATATGCAATGTGGGCTATTGTGATAGTGGCTGGACACCTAAGGCTCTCTACACATCCATTTGTGATTATTGAAGGTATTCATATGGTATGGCGTGTCCTGAGATCTCAGAAAAATGACTCAAAGCCACCAGACACAATGGATACGAGCACAGTGAAGAGTGCACTGAGCTGTTCCCAGGGCTATGAGAACAATTTCAAGACAGTGAGCTCTAGGTACTGACAGGAGGGCGTATTCAGTTAATAGTTGACTTTCATTTCATGAATGTCTAGGCTTTCATAAACAACTTTGTTCACATCCTGTCCTTTCTCACTTCTCTCCAGGAATTTGAGAATTTCATCAGCAAGTTTGGAGACTCTGGTTTTGTCCTTGTGGCCCTGGGCTCCATAGTGAGCACCTATCAGTCCCAGGAAGTTCTCATGGAGATGAACAGTGCCTTTGCTCATCTGTCTCAAGGTGTGATATGGAAATGTAAGCCATCTAAGTGGCCCAAAGACGTCAAATTGGCAGCAAATGTGAAAATTGTGGACTGGCTTCCTCAGAATGACCTCTTGGGTAAGGACTACCCAGATCTATTTCTCTCTTTCCATTTATGTAACTTTAGGGCTCTACTAGGCACCCCAGCAGCCTGTGAAGGAGCAGATGGTAGCTAAAGGTAATGTCTAGAGGGTAGGAATGGAGCAGCCAGCTGGAGTTCTTGGGATATTAGGTATACTTCCCAAATGGCTAAAATTTCCATGTTTTCTTCTTCCTTTCTATTCCTGATACCTTCAGTCAGAAGTGATATTATCATGCCATTATTTTGACCCTATCATATTTGGCACTGAACAACATTGCCTAAATACAAAGACAGTTTACGGACTCTGAGAACACATATCAAGGGCCATACTACCAGTGTTTTCCAGGCATCTTGAGCACCTGTTAGGCTTTATGCCATTGTAGAAACACACTCCCACACTTACTGGTTCATCCTCCTTTGCTGCAAAAGATGTACTCATACTTTCACAAGGTTTCTGTTAACTGTCTGAAGAGTGTACTAAAATATCTGAATGTCAAGCTGAATAACCTTTCAGCTTTTTACCTGGTTCAACAAATTCTCTGGTAACAGAGAGCTAGGTGGTTCTGCACATTTTTTTCAGAAGGCATGGGGTATGTAAAAAGATTCTGATTTTCAAAGAAACACAAATAAATTCTGATGCACATCCCCGTTGAGAGGCAGTGTTGGAGATGAACTCTTTGTTATCAACACTTGTTTTAGTTTTCTCTAAAGAAGGCTGGAGTAAGCACACAGGAACTGGAAATACTGAGATGGGTGGTCCATCATTCTCTGCTTTAGAGGATTTCCTATGGAATTGAATAGAAAGCATATGAAGTGTAAGTTTGATGAATGTCACATGATTATGTGTCGTCAGTGAAAGTGTTAAGACTTCAGATAACAGGGAAGTGAATGGACAGTGAAAGAGAGAGGGTGAAACCTGGAGAGTGAGAGATGGAAACAGAGATAGAGTGAGATACCAAGAGAGACAACAGGGATGGGAGACGCAAGAGAGATGTAGCATTGAGAGAAAAGAATGGATGGATGAAAGGATGGATATGGGAGGAGGATTATTTCTTGCTAAGCACTGTTCTCTGCAGATTTCCTTGGGTTCTTATTCCCACATGGATTGTTTTAAGGAGTCTCTGTACAGAGACAAGGCCAGAGTCTTGTATCTTGGAATATGCACCCTTGAGTGTGTCCTAAGCTAAGTCAGTATATCAGTTTCTCCAACATAATTTGAGATCTCTTTGTATTTTTTTTTCTGCCCTTGCTACTTTATCAGATGTTCTGAAAATTTTCACCCTGAAATATTCTGCTCTGTTCCTGATTTACAACAGCTCACCCACGCATCCGTCTTTTTGTCACTCATGGTGGGATGAATAGCATAATGGAGGCCATCCAACATGGTGTACCCATGGTAGCGATTCCTGTCCTTAAAGAACAGGCTGAAAACATGGTCCGAGTAGAAGCCAAAAAGTTTGGTGTCTCTATCCAGTTAAAGCAGATCAAGGCAGAGACATTGGCTCTGAAGATGAAGGAAGTCATAGAAGACAAGAGGTATGGAGCTCTTTGGGCTTGTGGTCACTTAGGCTGAATGAAGGCATCAAATACGAAGGGTGCTGTGTGGCACACTTTTGCAATAACAGCTGGAACTTCCAGGACACGGAATATGTATGTGATGCTAACATCTGACCTGTTACCTTTGAGAGCAAGACTAGGCATTTAGGTTAGATATTGAGAACGAGTTCTACTCAACTATAAGTAGGACTGTGACCTACTTATATAGGGTTTCTGAGAGGTGTTATATTTTAAGGGTGCTTATAATTGAATTACTTAAGGCAGAATGTTGCCTTTCAGTCCCCCAATATGCCACACTGTTTCCTGCCTCAAGCCCTTTGTCAGTGTTGCTCTCTAAAACATCCTTCCTTCTCCTCTCAGGATTGGCACCTTCATGACAGTTGGACTAATCTCCAATGCCCTCTCCTCAGAGAGGCAGTCTTTATCTAACAGTCCTAAATGCACTCTTCTCCCATTCCCTTCAATCATAATTTCATTTTTCCTTCTTATCGCTTCTCAGGATCAGCAACTACCCCATCCCCATTTCTTTCTGTTTTAATTTATTGTATGTCCCTCACACTGTAGAAAGTAAGCTCCCCTAGATGGCCAAGTGTGTCTCTTGTGTTCCCATATTCCCAGGGCCTAGTAAAGGGCCTGCTACAAAGTAAGGATGAATTTCTGTTAAGTGAATCAGTAAAAGGGCCCATGATGTCCTAGGTAAATTCCCATCCAGCACAATGATCTGATAACCAGGATGAACTGAATAACTTATTAGGGTCTCCAGGACATCTATACTGAGTGGGTTATATGTTACATCCCATATATTCATATCTACTCTTCCCTTTATCAACCATAAGCTTCCTGGGTAGAGATTTGACTTTACAACTTAGTCCCTGTTTTATAGTTTAGCACTTTTAGCACTAATCATGTATCTTTGCATGGAGGCGCTCGTTTGAGCTTTTCAATGGGACCAACTGGACGGTGGTAAGGCCAGGCCAACAACTTTTCCTTGAAAATGAGTCTTCTGTGCATGCAGAGGAAAGCATGTGTGACACAAGGTCTCTAAGACTTCTGAGACCACAGAAGTAATGGCCTGCCTCTGTGTCTGCCAACAGGTACAAGTCAGCAGCGGTGGCCGCCAGCATCATCAGGCGCTCCCACCCCC